GGAATAGTAAAAAAAAAAAAAAAAAGGCTAAGATGAATTTGTCTTTTATTTATGTGAAGACAAAGAATGAATAAAATGCCATGTATTAAAATAAAAATAAAAACAAGAAATTATGTTTTCAATTAATAGATGTATAGAAAGTGAAATTGGATAGAAAAAGATACACACCTGTGAAAACAGTAGTTAATAAGATAATTAAGATGACAACTAAACCTGGAATCATGAGTTTAAAATGACAGCTGCTGGAGAGATGTCTCCTTTGTTAAGAACAGTTGTTCTTGTAGAGGATCTAGATTTGATACCCAGAATTTCCTTGGTGATCCATAAACACAGACAACTCTACTTGCAAGTGATTCTATGGCCTTTTCTCACTTCCAAAGTAACCGGGCATGCAGGTGGTACATATAAATACATTCAGGCAAATACACACAAATAAAATTCTAAATAAATCAAATAACAACAATAATAACTAAACATGTTTTGTACAGGAGACCTTTTTCCAGAGTGACCATAATAAAGGGTTCTGAAAGAGTACTAGACCGAATCCCTCCTTCCCTGTCAGATGTTCTTGTTAGAGGAATGAATGGAACTTTCATTCCACCTTATCTTTCTAGCCTTCCCACCCAGTCAGGCTCCATTAAACTATGAATGAAACTTATCAAGGTGGAGTTACAATGTGCCTTGCAATGCATCAGTGGATTCAACTTGGCAGTTTCCTGATGAAGGGATGATACGGATTGGGATCAGCCAGTATGCCTGCTGCTGATTTATAGAGCAGCACTGATTTTGATCTTGAGGAGATTAGCTTTTCTGCTTTGACAACTAAGGCGAGCTGCCTTAGAGATTAAATAAAAAGCAGTTTTTCAAGGACTGCTTTATCTGTACCTGAACCAGTGTCTTCTGAAGGCCAAAACACACCAAAGAGCAAAGTTCATTTATAAATTGCAACTACTTATAAAATGCACCACAACAAAATAACTGAGATATTGATATTAATTTGAGGATTTAAAAATATTATAAGTGCTAATATTTATTCACCTCTGAGGAAATGTAGCTAGAAAAGCAAGCTCAGATTGAAGACAATTAGAAGTATCAACACTATTTTCAGTACATCCGCACTAACATCTATCCAATTGTAATACTTTTTAAATATCCATCTGTATGACTAGAAAGCACAATATAGTCAAGTAAATATGCAAACGTGATCATTTGCTTATTGTGTAAAATTAACTAACTATGGTCATTTGGGTGGTAAGATCCCATCAATGTGCTTATTGGCATAAAAAGTACTTGTCCTTTATGGTACAGAAAAACGAACTACTCATAGCCTTATTTCTGAAAATCCAATGTTTATGGATCGAATAGTTATGGTCTGCAGTTTCATGTGTTAAAATGCTTGGCCTATAAGCAGTGGAAATATTAAAAGGTATGACCTTGTTAGAGTTTTTGTGGCCTTCTTCGAAGAAGTGTGTCACTGTGGGGGTGGGCCTCGAGTTCTTATATATGCTTAAGCTCCACCCAGAATGGAACATGGTCTCCTCCTGGCTGCCTGGGAATCAAGATTTAGAACTCTCAGCTCTTTCTCCAGCACCGTGCTTGGATGCCACTATGCTTCCTGCCATGCTGATAATGGACTAAACCTCTGAAGCTGTAGGACATCCCAAATTAAATGTTGATCTTTATAGGAGTTACCTTGGTCAGGTGTCTCTTCACAGCAATGAAATCCTAACGAAGGCACCAACATTATATTAAATTTTATAAGATTATTAAGGTTCAGAATTTGAATACCCTAAATGCAAGCATCCTATAGATAGACTGTTATAAATATATCTGACTCTATTTTGTCTTTTATTTTTCTTAGGAGTATGCATACTATAATAAACTATCATTTTTTTCTACTATTGATTCACTTCTTTCAAGATAGTCCCTTTCTCCGTGCATCTCTTACAAGCAATGAGTCTCTTTTTAATTTTCCCTTTGATTTTTTTTTTTTTTTCGAGACAAGGTTTCTCTGTGCAGCTTTGGTTGTCCTGGACTCACTTTGTAGACCAGGCTGGCCTTGAGCTTACAGAGATCCTCCTACTTCTGTCTCCCTGAGTGATGGGATGACAAGTGTGTACCACCTTGTCCAGTTAAATTCAGTGATTCTCTTGACTTTCTGTTGAATTCATTCTCATTCTCTACTGATCTTTGTTCCTTCTGTAGGGGGACTGTTTTCATCCTTCCTTAAAATTATAATATCTCAAAATGTTAATATTACTTTGTTTCATAACCTTTCCTATAGTACTAAAAAGCTTAACAAACAAGGTGATATCTTTCTTAATTTTTAACAAAATTCTTGATTCCTACTCTTTCATAGCAACACAATATTCATGCTGTGTAAATATAAAGTTTATAATAGAAGAATCAGAAAATATTTTATCTGTTGCAGACAAAGAGAATTTATGAGTGACATGGGCAGATAGATTGAAAAATTCATTTCAACATCTTTAACTTCGAGTAAATTTTTTCTCAACCCATTTCTGGACTTATTCTACAGGAGAATTACCTCGGTGATTTCTGAAATATCAAATACCCAGGCCCATTATATATTTTCTTGAAAACATACGTTATCTCAGATACTAGGACTCTAAAATTTACCATCATAGCAAGATGAAATCTGAATTTATTTAAAGATTTGTAATCTTTCCATGGTAATTGTCTGTGTTCTTCTTGAATTTCAAAAGGACTCAAGTTTATTGTAATAGGAAAACAGAATGTATTAGTTAAGTTTGCAGGGCAAGATTGTCAGGTAGAAAATAAATTAAAAATAAAGAGCAGATATGTAATTAATAGTTTCATATGATTGACTTAAAAGTTCCATCACTTTAAAACAAAATTTTATTTCTTAATGATGTAAAACAAGACTATGTATCAGAGTTTGTTGATAATTTTAGGTATAATGATTTAAACTGTGGAATGCTATAACACAGATAATGGCAACATTCATAATAAATCTGTTATCCTAAAATAATAAATTCTGCTGCACAAACATAAGTATTTTGGAAAGCAGATTTTTGTGTTCTTTGTACATGAATTTAGAGAAAGGTGGAAGAAAAATATTCAGAATGATAAAGCAGAAAAAAGTAATACAATGAGTCATAAGATGAAAATGGTGGATATTTGGAAGAAAGATGAGGCACAAGGCAAAAATGCAGAATAAAAGGAACATTAATGTAAAGAGATCAAAATGGATGGACAAAGATATAAAGGATTAAGCCACTCACCTTACAGAGAGAAGGCAAAATTTTCATCAGTGAAGAGATCATTGTATGTATTTTGCTCAGGTTTTACTTCTGCCCAAATTTCTCTGACATACCATAATCGGGTCAAGTAAATATTTTTTTAAACAATATATTTTTTTATTTTTATTTTTAATTTATGTGCATTGGTGTCAGGCCTGGAGTTACAGACAGTTGTAAGCTGTCATGTGGGTGCTGGGCTTTGAAATCGGGTCCTTAGGAAGAGCAAACAGAGCTCTTAACCACTGAGCCATCTCTCTAGCCCCTCAAGTAAAGATTAAAGGTAATGAACTGCACCTAAATTAAAACAAACAAACAAACAAACAAAAAAAACAACTAAAATGTCATCAAAAGAATGAATGGTGATTTTTATAACATCTAAAAGGGTATTATTATTTTATAATTGATTCAATTTTTATCGTTTTTGTAGCCCCCTCTCTACTCCAGGTCCCATCCTTGCTTTTTCTTCCTCCCTTATCCCTTTCCGTTAGTCTACTTATAGGATAACTCCTTCTCTCCTACTGTCTGACCTTAGCCTATCTGGTTCCATCAGGACTTCCTGGATCCTCTTCCTCTGTGGGCTGGTTAGGTTGCCCCACCACAGAGAAGTGATCAAGGAGCAGACAACCAAGTTCATGACAGAGATTATCTCTTCTCCCTTACTAGGGAAGCCACATGGAGACTGAGCTGACTATGGGCGACACCTGGGCAGGGGTTCTAGGTCCTCTCTACACATGGTCTTTGTTGCATCAATCTCTGCAGTCCAGAGTGAACAGGAGCTCCTTATGGAGACCAACGCAGCCAGTAAAGGGTATTTTAATACTGGCAGTGATGTGAAAATAATTAAATTTAGAGCAGCCTTTCCAGACCACAGACAAGGACAATGCAGGCAGTCTTGATGAGACCTGATAAATGAGGGTCAGATGAAAGGAGAGGAAGACCTCCCCTATCAGTGGACATGGAGAGCGGCATGGGAGGAGATGGGGGAGAAATGGTAGGGTTGGGAGGGAGCTAGATCTGGGATACAAAATGAATAAAGTATAATTAATATAAAAAATAAAAATTTAATTAAAAATAAGTATGGCTCTTGAAATTTTATGTAAAATCCTTGAGTCTAGACTTTACAAATATGATGAATATAACTACACATACATATATAAATATGTAAAAATATACATATTCAAATGCATGTATATGTACTCAAAAATGTTTGTGTATACACACATATACATTAATAGTATACTCTATATCAAATCTTCCTACCATACAAATATACATTCCTTATAGAGGATCTAAAAATTCAAACACAAACAAATATTAAAATTTAATTCCATCTCAGAGTAAAAGCACTACAAATGTTTGGCAAACTTACTGGAATGTTTTTTTTGGGGGAGGACATGGGTTTAGGAGAAAATAGAATAATGAAATAAAGATTTGGGTGTATGATGAGAAATTTAAATTTCTCATGATGATGGATTATTTCCATGGAGAAAGGATATGCCGTACCTGAGAAGAATCATTAATATAAACAGTAGAGTGAGAGAAAGATGGCCTTAAATGAAGTTTTTTTATTCACAAATAGAAGAAAATATAAAACACTACACTTTTCCTTTTAATTACAAGAATTTTTTTAATATATTTTTTTATATTTCTGCCAAATTATGATTCCTGGAAGTATTGAGGATCGATGAGAATTAGCAGTATTTTTTATTCGTTTACCTTCTTTAAGGAGAGTATTCCTTCTCTGGTGTCCTTGTCAGTGGAGATGGAGAATATCCCCACCCCGTCTCCGTTGGTGATGGAGTAAGTCATGTCTGCATTTGAGCCTGTGTCTGCATCATTTGCCTTGATTTTCCCAACAGCTGAACCAACTTGAGCAGACTCAGGGACATACAGCTGATAGTGTTCTGGAAAAGATTTAATATTTAATTTACTTACAATAATTTTCATAAAGTACATATCTCATAAAAAATAACAAGTACCTTATCTGTATTACCAAGTAAACATATATAGAAAGAACTGGATTTCTTTTAATCTTTTAAACTCTCCTATTAGGTTGTTATAAAATTTTCTTCTACAATACCAAAAAATAGAAAAATTATTTATGTTGAATAAAATTTGAATTAGTCAAGCATAAGTAAACCAAATTTATCATTTTATTCACATTAGTGTGAAATTCAAATCAAATATGTATCTACATGTGTATGTGTGTGTGTGTGTGTGTGTGTGTGTGTGCATGTATGCTTGAAAGTTAAAGAGGGAAAAAGGAGAAAAAAACATACCAGAAAATGAAGCTAAGCATTATATGAATATTTTACTTACTTAAATATTGTAATCAATACCATAGAAAAACTTGTAAATATATTTAGCTATTTATCAAATATTTTCAATTATATCTGTAAAATATTTTATAGCAGTACATAATGGTTACAAGGAAAATTATATCTGCTAAACTATAGGCAAAACAATTGGAATATGGAAGTCTATTACACAAGATTATGAGCAGTTGTCAGTGGCTTCAGTGGTGACAGTGTTTATACTGTCTGCAAAACCAACTCACATCATAAATATCATTGTTCAGAATTTGTAAACAAAACGAACTGAATGTTTTATTGACATGAGCAGTGTTCCTAAAATTATTCATTAGTGTACTTTAAATGAATGATAATAATAACTTAAGTGGTTATTAAAATTAAAAATACATATATTAATATATTTCATTAAGACATTCAAAAGAATATCATAAACACTAAGGCTATTGAATATAAATGTAACTAAATAAACTATTCTACCAATATTATGGCAATAATCCTAAAAATATAATATGCAAATAACGATTTGAAACTAGACAGTTATACTGAGTGTGGTTCACAATTACAGAAAAATGTATGCCATAAATTTTCCCTCTTAGGTGGCCAAGCTTTGAATATCTACTCCTATGTATTTAACTTGGAGTTCCTGTGAGGCAAAATATCTAGAAGACTAGGAAGAAGGGTGTAACCTAAGGAAGAAGGAATGTTAAAATTCAGGCAAAGTGAAAATAGATGTGGCAAGGGATATCAGGTTTGGGAAAATTAGACCAAGAGAGAGTGCTGTCATAGGATAGTGGGGAAGAAAGCCACACAAAAGAGGCTATGAAAATGGAAACCTAATATCTTGTAACTAAATGATAAACAACCTATTAAGTCGAATGGTCACAAGGCACATACTCTGCATGGCTGACAGAACTTTTCATGCAGAAGCCTTGAATTAAAAAATGAAATTTATCTTGTCAGCTGTGGCATACTTTGAATGACTTGTGGGTTAGGGAGATCAGATGCTGCCAAAACAGCTCAGGTTCTTCTCATTTCTATTGGTTGTCCACCAGAACACAGATAGTGGGGTTCTAGTGTTGAAGACACAGCATGTTAGTGGTATCAAATAGAGTAATGAAATGGGAATTAAACAGGACACTTCCTCCTCACTGTTCAGTTTTTTGGAGTTCTAAGATATCATGCAGTTTGCTGGAGAAGAAAAGTCATCAAGCATATTATTTGGTTATGAGTCCAGCTAGGAAGAAAACTAACCAGTCATACAAAATGTGTCAACTTTGAAATAGTGGTATGTCATTATGGGAGTATCTAAATCTTCTCTAATTCTGAGTCTCCAAAGGACATCATCCATACCTGGTTTCATATGGGTATTAAATGCTTTCTCATTACTGTTACTATCTCATTACTATTTTTTTCTATGTCTTCTTTTATCTCCTTTTACACTCCAAATAACCCTTCATCATTACTCTGGGATCCTTCCCTAGATTCATTGCTTTTTAAATTGTGACCCATTTAGTTTTACTAGCACCATGTGTGTGACCATTGTATTAAAATTATCCACTGGTAACAAGTGGATATGAAAATATCAAAGAACTAACCTAATGCAAATAAACAATTATGTTTAAAATTGACACTTTGTACTTATCCTTTTTACTTTTCAGCCAAAAAATTACTTGTAATTTTTGAAATATATATATTATATGGTGCTAACAATAAAATATGTATTATTATTAATATCAGCTACACATAATGTAAATCATAAAATAAACCAAAAAGATCAGGTCAGAATAATGAAAACTACAATAAAGTATGTTTCAAATAAATATTTACCTCAAGAGAAAGAAAAAAATTCTTTAAGCTTTAACCACACTAAGAAAAAGTAAGAAAGAGAAGATTTAAATGTAAAAATTAGAGAAGAAAAAGAGGGAGTTTAAAGTAGCCACCAGTGGGATTCAAGAAAGCAGTAATGAATTCCAAAAGGGTAGTAAAACACTAAAAAGGAATACTTGATGAATGTCTGGATACACGGAACCTACTGTCATCAAGGCCACCACCAGCACAACCACCAATTTATCTATAACAAGATATGAGTCTGAAGCACTAATTTAAAAGTTTCTCAGCATAAAATACTGAAATCCACCCAGATTCACCAGTGGGGTCAATGGTGATTACTGGAAAATCTTTATAGCAGAACAAGAGCAACAGTTTTCCAAATTATTTTATTTAATTGAAAAGAAAGACTCAGCGTGTTAGTGCCATCCTGCTTGAAATTCTCGTGCCAAGAGAGTAAAGTAGTGGAATAAGTGAATGTGCAGGGCTGAAGAGCAAGAGAAGGATGAGGTCTCTACCTCATCCAAGTAAATGAGCTGTGCACCACAAGCTCAAGTAAGGGACACTGCAGGCTGGGGCTTTGGTACAAGTTGTTGGACTGCATGCTGTTGGTGGTAATAAGTCTCAATGGACCTGGCATATCATTTTGTTGAGACCACCTGAGAAACTGGCTGCCTTCTTTACTTTCTTTTTTTTCTTTTTGTTTTTTTTTTTTTTATTTTATTTTTCTTTTTAGTTACATTTTGTTAACTCTGTGTCCCAGCTGTATCCCTCTCCCTCATTCCCTCCCCAACCCCACACTCCCTCCCTGGTCTCCTCCCTGCCCCTTTCGAAGTCCCCTGATAGGGGAGGACCTCCTCCCCTTTCATCTGACCCTGTTTTATCAGGTATCTTCAGGGCTGGCTGCAAAGTCCTCCTCTGTGGCCTAACAGACTGCTCCTCCCCTGGGGGGGGGGGGGGGGGG